AATGGGCCTAAGCCTGTTTAATGTTTTAAGTTAACTGGGTGTCCCATCACTAATCAGGGGCATTCCAGTAATTACTTGTATCATTGTACTACATTCAAATATAAATAATAGCATGGTCGACTGAGCAGTTCAGTTCGACATTCACAGCATACCAATGGTGTTCTTCTCCTCTCCTCTACTTTGAGTACAGCTCTCAAGCTCACATGAATGATATAATTTTATAGGAGAATTGGATAACAGACTTTAACTTTCTGGATATATATATATATAGATAGATATAAACTGTACAGAAGATCATTATTTCTGCACAACAGAGATAAAGAAGTATTTCAACTCATAATTTGAACTGCTTCAAAATAGAAGAAAATTACAGAAAATGAACATGATTCAACTATGTACATCAGAGGTAGCTGTGTACTGGTACAAAGTTAATTCAGAAATTCGGAGTTAAGAAAATAAAATAAGAGATACAAAAGAAGAAAAATAGGAGACTTCAAAACATTGGAAAAAGAACCAGAAAAAAAAAAAAAAGAGGAAGAACCTGAGCCAGTTCCTCCAGCAATTGAATGGCATAGAACAAAACCCTCAAGACTATCACTTCCATCAGCTTCTCTATCAATCATGTCCATTATGTCCTCTTGAACCTGCTCTCCCTGATTAGAAATCAACTACCTTTCGTTAATCATCTCAGTTATCATAAGCTTATGATCCTAATGTCAAAATGCACTACAGCAAACAATCCGCAAGGGAGTGGAGGGGGGACTAGACCTAAGAATAATCAAAGTAGCAAACAGAAAGAAGGGAATTGTAAATTTCCCAAATTTGCCCAAGCTTGTATAGAAATCAGTACTTTGAATATATGAATGTAACAAATTAAAAATTCAGCGAGTTCAGAATGATGGACTTGATCTTGGAATGCACCCTTCTACCAAAAAAAAATCTTGGAAATGCATCCTGCACTTAATCAACAATGTATAACCAATGAAGAGGGGTTGCCTAATTGCGATGGTTATACATGATAATCAAGGAAACAGAACAAATTATAGCAACTTCAAGCACATTAATAATAATAGCTTATAAACAATTAAAATTTAGAGCCTGGAACATTTCTTTCCACATGGAGGAATTGCATCCAAGAATTGATTATTGAGTGAAACACTTTTGGGGCATGTAAAATGGTTAGATAAAGCTCCAACCTTATTTTGTTTGTACATGCCCTACATGCCCCTATGATGCACAATTCATGTAATAGCAATTACTGTAGAATGATTATAGAGTAGTTTATCTTTGTGTACTTTTTTGGATAATGGAGGGCTCAGGCATACAATAGGCTTTAATTCTCAAGGAGTTTAAAGTAACGACTCTCAAAGTTTTGATGTAGTTAGTAAAAGGAGTACCTACAGAAAAAAAAATTGAAAATGCATGTAAAGTTGACTTTGATAAAAGCTTTCAGGCTGAAGCATATAGAAATGGTGTGGGAACTTTCAAAATGACAAAGGAAGATATGCAGTATGTTCTTCAAACCAATTAGAACCACAGCCTAGTTAAAACTTGAAAGGGCATTGAAATCCAAATTATCTTGTCCAGAAGGTCAGTTTCTAAAGCAATTTGGATAATTCCATTTTCCTGGTACTAAGGAGTAGGAATAATCATTTCTGCCCTGGTCCACATTGCTTGGCAGCCTTGGCCCAGCCCAGAAATTTAAGATATATAATATGTATTATATGTGTGTGTGTTTGTGTGTAAAAATTAAAATTTTATACATAATTTTTTGTAACTTTGAATATAAATTTAGTTTTTTTTTAAATGTATTTTTATTAACTTATGTGAGCAACCCTGGATGCCCAGCCAGCCCGAGCCTTGGCATCCATGGTTATCAGGCCCAGGCAGCTCAAAATGATCTTACTGTACTGTAAAAACCCAGCCAGGTCCATCCCATCCCATGATCGTCCCTACTGAGGAGAGAGAAGAGCGGAGGCTGAAAATTTTCATGTTTTCCAGTTATCTTCTAGCCTATCAGTTATGTGTAGTAACCCATGTTGATATACTAATAATCTCATTGTAACTTGGAAACTCTATTCCATAATGTTTGTGCTTGATACTTCTTTTAAAAGTGTCAGCTATAGAACAAAAAATGATGCTTTCCATTTTACACTTCAAACTCACAAGAAAGGTGTTTATATTTTTCTTTATCAAGAAATCAACAGATTCTTTCGAATGTTGTCCATGAATGACACTTTGAACTTATGACAACAATAATATCTCATATTTTGTCAATGACAAAGCAAATTCTGTTAATCTTTCTAGCACAGCAGTAATTACCAATAAACTAAAAGAGAACAGAAATGGAAATAAATGATAAAGTAAGGACTAAATGAAAAACCTGGTGGTACCCACTAGCCCAATTGTTTCCAGCACCACCTCCATGGTCTGATACAAATATGTTCTCATGATTATAGAGATTCCGGTATTCGCTGTTTTGAATTCCATTGATTACTCTGGGTTCTAAGTCCAACAGGATAGCTCGTGGTACGTAGTGTTGATTGTCAGCTTGATAGAAAAACACATCTTTCCTGTCACCTCCCTGAAACATTCCAGAATGGAAAAATAAGCCAATATAAACTTTACCCAATCACCTGTAGAAAAAAAAAAAAAAAAAAACAAACAAACAAAGAAAACTTAAACAGTCCAAGAGTGAGAGACATACATGATAGAGAAGAAAAAATATAAATAAGTAAAGAAAAATGCATCACACTTTTTATAGTGGAAGAAATGCTTCCGAGAAAAAGTAGACAACTAGATTTGAGTGAGAAAGACTAATGACTTATGCGAGACTATGCATTACATGGTCATCAATGAAGGCTGAACAATTCCTATTGTTTATGAAGGATGAACATTTTGAGGCTTCAATGTAAAAGATAAACATGTTCTACTCTGGATAACAAAGTAGGACACTTTAATTTCTTGTAATAAGGCTTTCAGCAAAAATGAATATGACCGCTTTATATGTCAAGGGATCACACAACCAAAGGGTGCCTAAATATTGAAGTGATCAACTAAGAAATGGTGTCAATAATAGAGCATTTCAAAGAAAGTACAGGTTCAAGAACCAATCTAATAATTCAACTTAGCAATCACGTTAATATAAACCATGCCAAGCACAAGATTGTGGGGCACAAATAACTAAAACCAATAAGCTTAGTGACAACAATTTGAATAGCATCACATTTTTGGTGAAGTACGTGTTCAACTGCTGATCTTAGAATTAACCCTGGCAATTACATTGAAAATAAACAATATAAACGAAATTACATAAAAGACAGACAGACAATGAAGATTAAAGGAAATCAAACAACCTGAGTAGCGAAATCCTCAAGATTTCCTTCCTTGCTGATGCCGTGTTCGAGGCAGAGTTGCTTCCAGAACTCCATTCCAATCTGATTCCCGCATTGTCCAACTTGCAGAGTGATGATTTCTCGGGGCATTTTTTAACATAAAATTAGGGTTTACTAAGATGGATTTGCTTCCTTCTTTCTTCCTGTTGTTATCTCACTCTGTGTCTGGTACGACTCTTTTTGAAAGGAGAGGGAAAAAAGAAAAGAAAGGAAATTACTAGTTATGAGCTTGGCGCCTTCACATGTGAAAGGAGAGGGCTCATTGCCCCGTAGCAATTAGCGAACCAGTCATGATAACAAGCTAAGCATCTCAAGAGTCGTGAATCCTGATAACTTGCTCTGTGTCTGCGCGCCCTTAAACGGCAGTTAAACCATCGCTATAATCAAGTCTGTAACTAGCAATCGAGTCATGATGATGATGAAAGCTTTCTCGGGGCATTGCCTTCTTCTCATTCTATCCTTTTTCAGCAAACAAACAGGCCTCAAAGTTCCTTATAATGACTTCTGGGCCTTAGAGATACCAAGCCCAACTCAACATTACAAGTTTACATCTCAGTGAATCGATCCTATTCCTGGACATATTGCCCAGTCTCTTCTTTAAATGATTCAAGCCCAGATCGCAAAAATAAGCCTAATAGCAGTCAACTAGAATATAGAATCCATTAGAACAAACCTAATGGAAAGTAATATGAGCCTTAATGCCGTCTAATCCAGTCTTTCCATCTAGAATCCTAGATGCAGGCCTGCAGGGTTGTAAATGATCTGAGTTCATGGGCTCGACTCACATGAGCTAAGCCTAAGACTGAATCAGATCTCATATTACATTTCATACATACATGATACATATGTAAACACGTCTATCTATACATACATGCAGGCAGGCAATTTTCCTATGTGCCTGCGTTTGTTTTTAGTGTAAAGCTTTTAAAATGTAAAAGTACATCGATTGAAAAGTGAATCGATCAGCAGTGAACCGTTAAGGCTCAGTTTGGAAGGAGTACAAATAAAGATATGTAGAGTGTAAAATCTTACATTTTGTATGTATTTGTACTGTACATATTTGTATTTATACTCCTTCCAAACCGAGCCTAAAGTGAAAAAATATATAATCTGTGCGTGTAAAAAATTACATTGATGTAGTTTTTACATCAACCATCGATGTAAAATTCCACCATGCATTGTTACACCAAAAATTGACGTAAACTCCATTCACGATTCACGGGATGTAAAGTTTATCGTTTACCCCAATTCTCATGTACTCTGAAAACAAATGCAGTCATATGGTTTTTTAGGTTGGACTTTGGAATAATTTTTAGGGTCCATTTGGTTTGCAGTTGGAATCAGATCAAAATGGTCAATTCCCATTTTCAGATAAAAATGGAAATGAAAATTGGAATCAGCAGAAATGGGATTGCATTCGTGAGAGAGAGGGAATGGCCATTCCCTCAAATGGGGGGAATACCATTCCAGTAAGAATGGGAATGGGATTTTAATTCCGCCCAATCAAACAATTGGAATTGGAATACTAGGCCCCCTAGCCTTAATACATTAATCCCAATAGGCTTGCCAGATCCCAATAAATCAACCCGAGCCTATCACAAGCTTAAACCCAACCCATGTGACAAATTTTAGGGCCCGTTTAGTTTAATGGGAATCGGTGTCTGAAATCAATCGGAATGGGTCAATCCAATTCCAACTGTTTAGTTGGATAGAATCAGAATCTCATTCTCATTTCTGGTGGAATAGCATTCCTCCATTTGAGGGAATAGCAACTCCCTCCCTCTCACTTGGAATAAAATTCCATTCCAGCTGATTTGATTTCCCATTTCAATTCTTGTATGAATAAACAAATTATGGGAATGGGCTGTTTCAATTCCAATTCCAATAGATTTTAATTTTAATTCTGACTCCAACCACAAACCAAACAGATCCTTAGTTGAGGCTGAGCCTCTGTTGAGGTAAATTGGTTTTAGCGTAAGTCTCAAGTCTTAAAGCCCAAATTTTATAATCGGGTCTGAATTAACCTTAAATCCGGCCCAGCACACTCAAATTGCCGCCCTATCTCTCTATTTTGGATAAGAAGGCTTCGAAGGATTAATAATTTTATTCTGTCAAAAATGTTGTCGTACGGTTTTACATTTAGAAGTGCTGTTTATTCTCAGTTGGGTGTTCCTGACAACATTTTGACGTGGTGATATTTGTTTGGACTCGAAATTTGGGCTAAGTAGGATCACCTCATACAAAATAATATAGAGGTATTTAGGCTAATTTAACATCACATATGTGTATAGCTTATAAAAAAAATCACGTGTAGAGAGGGAAATGAATGGAAAGGGAAAAACAAATGGATTAAAATTTTAGGATGCTCGTTTTGACGTGAGGCCAAGGGAAATATTGACATTATAGTAAAGTAGTACATTCTTTTGACATTCCGTGGTGTTTCATTTCAGCACATTCGACGTAATGAAAATCATATAGTTCATGCTTTGGTTATTATCTTGACATATTGTACATGTGCTCAAATTTGGGATCATTCCGGATCCCCTCATGTTATTTTACAATCTCATCAATGCATAATTTTCATTTGCAGAAAAAAAAAATGTAGATTCTCTGTGAAGCAAAAAAATGGGCTGTCAAATAAATTTTATTAAGGCTCGGTTTAGAAAGAGTACAAATGCAAATATGTACTGTAGATACATATAAAATATAAGGTTTTGCACTCTACATATTTGCATTTTCACTCTTTCCAAACTCAGCCTAAAAAGTGAACTCTAAGGTGGTAGTTGATATTTAAAAAGTCATGATAATAAACCCAAATGTGGGGAATTACACTTCTAACGATGCACTCTATTTTAACTATGGAGTGATCATAGGCAATTTTTATTTAGTCTGCATTTGGTAGAGGTGTAAAATCGAAATGGGGTAAATTTTGTACCCCGGTTCGATTTTGCAGACATTTGGTAAATATGTCATTTTACATCGAAAGTCGGTGTAAAATTACATTTTATCTTTTAATTACATCGATAATCGATATAATAAATACATTGAAATTTTTTATGTATTTATTACATCACTCGCACTCAATCTCTCTTCTCCTTTCTTCTTCTTCTTCTTCTTCTTCTTCTTCTTCTTCTCTCTCTCTCTCTCTCTCTCTTCTCCTCTCTTCCTCCGACAAGAACAGAGAGACAACGATCTCTAGCAGCTTTTCCATCACCTGTTTCTGGGTCTGATACGCAGATTGCAACACCCGACAAGGACTGCAACCCGGTCACCAGACGAGAACGAGAACAGAGAGGCTCACTGCAACCTGGTCTGATACGCCAGTTGCAACACCCGGCAAGGACTGCAACACCAGACGAGAACGAGAACAGAGAGGCTCACGTACAAGAGCCTCTCCTGTTGCAACACCCAGTCATCAATTTATGGGTCTGATATGCTGCTCACCGCCACTCGCGATGCTTTGTTTCTTGGCCGATGGCAAGGACTGCAATCTCTCGGTTGCAATGGACTTTTACCTCGGTTTCCTTGTGTTCATCGTCGTTTCGTTCACAACACCATCCACAACCATTGTTTCCGCTCCCTTTCTCTCTCTCTCTTCTCCTCTCTATCTTTTTTTTCTTCTCTCTCACTTTCTGTTCAGTAGCTTGTTGGCTTCTCTGTTCTCTTCCCCTTCCTTCTTGCTGTTCGGGCTGCCCTCATACAGTTGGAAAAGGAAGTTGGGAGTTCAGCTCAGCCATCTCAGTCACCATCAGCTCCTGCCACATYWRYATTTGCACATTYARGTACTCGAGCCTCAGCTTACCATGCTTCAGCTCCAGGTAATACTGACCACTG